TTTTAGAGACTGAGCTCTTAACCATTTCACGGAGCTCTTAACCATTTTTTTTTCTTAGAAGAAAGTTTAATACAGGAGAATTGTGGTTGGAAAGTACTTTTGTAACAATGTCTGTCTCTCAGTTTTGCCAAGGGCACAGTATGTCAGGAAAGTCCCCTTGGATGGGCAAGGAAGAAGGAGAAGTTAAAGCCAGAGATGGGTCTTCCAGGAGTCCTTTCTGTTACTAGCACTATGTTATGTCATTCTTTCATGTTCTAAAAATAGGAAGTTGGTAAGTGCTGCTCAAAAGTGCTTAAAAGTGCTAATCAGCTCATAATTGCTAAGTGCCTACGATGATACCTTTTCAAATTACATTTTCTTTAGTGTGTGGGGGATGGGGGTGGGTACTAAGAATTGAATCCAGGGGCACTCTACCACTGAGCTATATCCACAGTCCTTTTTATTTTATTTTGAGACAATGTCTCACAAAATTTCCCAGGCTAGCCTGGAACTTGCAATCCTCCTACCTCATCCTTCCAAGTCACTAGTATTATGGGCATGTACCGGAGGGCCCAGCTGGTATTCTTCCATTTTGATGAGGAAGAGTATTGTCAAGTTCAGCTAGGTGTGCCATGAGCACTTCCCTGTGCAAAGCTCCCATTTGTTACCTGTCTCACCCTTCTGAAAATAAAACCAAGAGTACAACCAACTGTGGACCTCACATTTCCCTCTAGTTACTGATTCATTTCTCTTCATGGTTTTGTAACACTCTTCTCTAAAGAGTTGGCTACATTCTATCATCTCCACATCTTTACCTCTAGAACTTTCATGTGCACTTGTCAAGATCATGGATGACTTCCATACTACTAAATCCAACTTGCAGCAACATTTATCTCTGTCAGTCGCTCCTTCCTTGTAGTGCCATGTTTTAAAATGTAAGTTTTATTTGTTTTTTTATATATATGGTGAGGCCAACAGATCAGGAGGCAACTGTCATTGATACCAAGTATGGTCTCATTGCCTGTGTACATAAAAGCTGATATTATGGCAAAAAGAAATAGCTTTCTTGGAAGGTCACCTGGCAAGGAAGTCAGGAGCAGAGGGGGAAAAGGCTCAAATCTGTTTCCCTGATGCACAAATTACATCCTGAATGATGTAAATTGTGTAAATGCAAATTTACAGAGAGGGAGAAGGGAGAAACTGCTTGTTGATTGATTGTCAAGAAGAGGGAGTTTGAGATTCCTCTGAAAAGGCAGAGATGGTCATTGTGCCTCAGAAGGAACATGTTTCTTTCCTGAGGGAGTTATGTACTACGCAGGGAATTTGGAACATTTGACGTCAAAAGGTCATTGACCAGAGGAGCTAGCTGCTTCTGCACATGTCCATTCTTGAACAGCTGATCACATCGTCCTTGAGGGGATTCGGAAGGCTTTTCCTGAAAAACAATTTAAGCACTTTGTTACTTAAGGAATTTATGTCCCATGTGGCCAACCCTCAGCCACTGGAAAGATAGTTTGTTATACTCAAGATCCCAAGAAAAAAAGGATGCAAGTGCAGGGGCTACATAGGGAAGTGCCAAGATCAGTCATGGGGCAAAGGAGGTAGGTGGGACACATGGGCAGGCACCTTTACTGTAGTTTCCATAGGAAGGAGCAGGTGAGACAAGGAAAGCAGATTCATGGTTGACTAATACGAATGATTTCTGTAGGCCCTGGACCATAGGAGCTCTCTCTAGTTTTCTGGGGTTGGGGTGATTAGGGCAAGTGATTGGTGACTGTAAATGTGGAAGGGCACAATAAAGGAAGTGGTTGAGAGTATGAACTCTGGGTTGGTTGGTTTGCAATTGAAAGGTGTGTTCATGTGCATATTGTTTCCTACTTCTTGTAACTGGCTAACCGAGGGAAGGGCAACCCCTTTAGGATCAGCAAGCCTCCAGGAAATCAAAGCATTAGAATACAGAGATCGAAGGATATGGTTAACATATACTATCATTTGCCCTGTTACCCTTCTTCTCAATCTTCTTTGCTGGTGCCCTCTCTTCACCAAGATCTATAAATGTTGAAATGCCGCACATGTCAGTTGTGTCTACTTTCACTTCCCTGTCTCTCCATAGGCAATGTCATGCAGCTTATGGATTTAAAGAACACTTATGTGTTGATGACTCTTAAGTTATCTCTTTCTCAAGCTTTAGACCTGTTATCCAACTGCCTCCTGAACACCTCCACTTACCAGTCTAATAGGCATTTCAAATCATACAAACATGAAATATGACTTGTAGTTTCTTCTCCTAAACCTGCTTTTCCTTCAGGCCTCTCCATTTTGCTCTCGAGACAGTCTACATTCTCTCTTGAATGGGTATCTTCTTCCTAAATAAACTTCTGTCTATGCCTTTGTATGGCTCGGGCTGAAATTCCTTCCCATCACTTATGCCAAGAACACTTCTTGCCCTGAGCTGAGTTCCCCTCTCCTCTGGGAACTCCTTGGACCCTTCTCCAGAGACATCTCTTCTCCTGCAACAGATCTACAGATTTGATACAATTCCTACCAAATTTTCATCTTTTTTTCCCCCACAAATAAACAAGCCCATTCTAACTCATATGGAAATTCAAAGGAGCCAGAATGGGACAGGGCGGGGGTGGGGAGTGGGGGGGAGTTTGAAAAAGAAGAACAAAGTTGAAGGGCTCATACTTCCTGTTTTCAAAACTTACTGCAAAGCTATTGTATTCACTACTGTGTGGTACTCACATAGGAGAAATAGAGATGAAAACGGAATTGGGGGTCTAGAAATAAACCCACACATCTCTGGTCAAGCAATTTTTTGCAAGGTGCCAAGCCAACACAAAAGAGAAAGTATAGTTTTTCAACAAATTATTCGGGAACAACTGGATGTCTATGTACCAAAGAATGAGTTTAGAGCCTCACCTCATATCATATGCAAAAATTAATTCAAAATGAATCAGAAACCTAAGTAGAAGAACTAGAATATATTTATTTCTTAGGAGAAAACATAAATGTAAATCTTTGTAACCTCAGACCAGGCAACAGTTTCCTTGATATGACACCAAAAACACAAACAATAAAGGAAAAAAGTAGATCATCTGAACTTTATCAAAATTAAATTTATATGTTCTTTGAAGTTAATTTTAAATTAAAACATTTATGCTTGGAAGAATGCTATTAAAAAGCTTTGAAGACAATCTACAAAATGGGAGAATATATTTTCAAACATATGTTTGATAAAGAGTTTGGCAGTTCCTCAAAGACTTAAACACAGAGTTACCATTTGAGCCAGCAATTATATATATATATATATATATATATATATATATATACACACACATAGACACACACACACTATGTATTTGGACCTGTTATCCAACTGCCTCCTGAACACCTCCACTTGCCAGTCTAATAGGCATTTCAAATGACTATTAGACATATACATATACACACACACAAACACACAAACACACACACACACACACACACACACATATATATCCATGAGAATTGGAAGCATATATACACAAAAACTTGTACATGTATATTCATAGAAGAGTTTTTCAAAATAGTCAACAAGTGGAAAAATTTGAATATCAATCAACAGATGAATGGATAAACGAAATGCATTATATTATACAATTTAATATTATTCAGTCATAAAAAAAGAAAGAAGTATTGATGTGTTACAACACAGATAAAGTTTGACAACATTATGTTCAGTAAAGGAAGCCAGTCACAAAAAGCCATGCATTGTATGATTCCATTTATATGAAATGACCAGTATAAGCAATTGATAGAGACAGGAAGCAGATTAGGGGTAGTTAGAGGTTATGGAGAGAGGGACAGGGAAATGGGGAGTTTCTTTTAATGGTATGGCTCCTTTTAGGGTAATTGAAATGTTCCAAAAGTAGATAGTGGTGTTGGCTGCACAACTCTGTGAATATATTAAAGACCACTGAATTGTATTGTAGAATTTTAAAAGTCTGTTTTAAACACACATACACACACAGAGATTACTTTCTCTTTTTTAAGAAATTGCTTTCTTTTGTATGTCAGCTATACTTTCATAAAGCTGTTGAAATTTTTAGAATAAACTTGAAAGACAAAGAAAAATGCATAAATGCCTCAACAGACCACTTGTCACCTTCACTAGCCCCAACACTTAATCCAAGCTATCACCATTTCTGCAAAGATATTCCTAACTGATCTTCCTGCTTCTAATGTTACCAACTGCCTCTCCTCCCAACAAGTCTGTCATCTAGCCAAAGCTGAGCCCTCTTTCAGAAATGTAAACGAGGTCATGTCATTCTGCTGGTTCAAACATTCAAATGACTTTCCATCACACACAGAGTATCTCTGCCATTATAGCCTCACATGTATGGCTCCAACAGATTTTCCTTGAGAAATGGTCCCTTTGCTAATCAAAGTTGTAAAGTCCCTTTGAGGACAAAATAGCTGTGTGTGCTCTGCTCTTTTCCCTTCAACCAGAGCCATCCTTTGGATGGAAAAAGCCTGGGATCAAAGATAGAAGCACAGGAGGTAGAGCAGGACCAAGGTGGGGCAACCCCCATCAGAACCTACTCTCCATTTTCCCCATTTAAACCTCTTGGTAAGAGGTAAGTCACATGATGAGCACATGGATTGCAGCACTCAAGACAGCTCTACTATGCTACTCAGCCAAATAGCAAGTATTTACTGAGAACACAGCTCTGTTTCTACCAAACCCTGTTCTCAAATATCCAATTCCCTGATTTCCAATCCAGCTAGAGAAGGTGGTGTGCATTATCCATTTGACAAGACACTTCTGGTATTTGAGGGCCTGCTATTGGGGGGATGAGAAGTATGATGTAAAGTTTTGTGGCAGACACAAAGAGGTGCAGATAACCACCAGTGTGGGCTACTCCTGAAAACTGGTTCATCTTCAGAAAAAGCCATTAGAATAGGAAGAATAGCTTCTCATTTGGACTGAGAAAGACTGTCTCACTTCCTTCTACGCTACATCCCCTATCCTCCAGATAGTCAAACTACAACTTCTCTTTGCAGTTCCGCTCCCCTGCCATTTATGCCTTCCCCCAAAATATTTATTTATGAGTCTTTACCCTATTCTCCGGAGTAAGCAAATCACCAAATCATGAGGCCCAGAAAGACTGCGTTAGGCTCTGAAACTTTCAATTGTCTATTTCAGATCAAATACAGAACATGTTCTTCCTCCTGCTAGTGTTGAACCTAGGATCACAGCTTCATCAGGCAGCAGGTAAGAAAAGACAAAGGGAGGGATGGGTCCTGGAGGGGAGCAGGTAGTGGCCCCTCACTCAGGCCAATCATGAGCCTGTGGTCCTCAGGCTGAAGGCTTTCTTTGAAGGGAAGTATGATCACTGGCTGCTTCAAGCAAAAGAATTGTGTCAGGGTGGCTTGTGTATTCTAATGTCCCTTTCTTATGAAAATGGGGACTGAGGATATTGATCCATCCATCTGCATTATCCAATAAGAATAATGACAAGAAGGCATGACTACTCAGGCCACATGCATCTGAACGGATACTAGAGATCAGCGACTGAGTTTCTTTAAAGGTGAAATGCCAAGGGGCTTTCCCCTTCCCTTGTGGCAGGGAGAGTGAGTAGACAAGGTCCAAAACATCTAGAGGACTATATTAGTACAGAGTCTCTCGAAGACATTCTACCTATTATTATACTTTCATGTGAGTTGCTGTTTTAAAATGCAACAGCAGCAGCCTTTGGTCATTCTTACCTTAATGTGGACTACTTGAATTGAAAACTCAGAGTCTTCCTAAAGCCCCAGTGAACAATGCATCTGAAGGTTCTGCCTTTAGACTTGAAGATGGATCATCTACTGAAGGATATGGGCAAGTGGAAAGGAGCCATTTAAGAACTGATTGTTTTCCTGGCAAGCAGACTTCAGACCCTTATAGTGTGCAGTAAGGACCAGGAGTGAATCATTTTGGTCAAATGACAGGAGGTAAGAGAGAAAGAAAGAGGTGGAAAGGGGGATAAAGTCCTTGGTGGTAGCAGCCCTAAACCCATGGAAATCACCTAACATTCTGCTCTTGGTTGACAAATAATCCTTTGGCACTTGATAACCTTTTGAAGAGCTTTCTTTCCCAGTCCAGGTGGCCCCAGATGGTTCTTTTCTCAGCTATGTTCCACTCCCTTACTTGGGCTGCCCAGCCTTTTCTGGTCCTGGAAACATAGATTTGGCACCCTCCTCAAAGGAAGACTCAAATATTCTGCCTCCTCCTACCCTGGGCCAGCAGTACAAGCTAAAGAAGCTCTTTGTTTCCTTTGCAAGGAATCCTACTTGGCTGGGATTTTAGAGACATGCAAAAGGTGCAAGCACCCGCTTTATACTAAAGGGCTTCAAGTTTCATAAAGTAACTAGTGTGACCAAAGTTCAAAAGAAGGGTCTGAAACTAGAGTTCCCTGTCCCCTGAGAGGACTGAGTGCTTCAGGTAAAAGCTTGGGGATTGTGCAACCTCTGTGGGTTTGTAGTTTAAATGCCCAATGGTGTTTTTGTTTTTGTTTTGTTTTGTTTTGGTCTTTTCTCCTAGAAAAAAAAAAAAAGAGAGAGAGACATTTTTAATCCATCATTGATCTTTTTGAAGAGAAAGGATTTTTCTTTTTAAGGTAAACAGCCCAAGGCAATGAGAAGGCACTTGCTCTCCATTAGGTATACTAAAGGGTATAGGGAATAGAGATCATATTTACTAAGGACATGAACTAAATACCTGACACTATGCTAGGCGATTTACCAATGTTATATGTCATTTCATCTTCACAATAACCATTGGGAAGGTGGAGAAACAGACTTGAGAAAGTTATTTAATTTTCTTAAAATTACATAGTTTGGTGGCACATGAAATATTTCAACAGATTTATTGTCCTTTCTACTTTACTAGGCTACAACAATGGCGGTAAGCAAATATGGAAGACAAATTCGTAAGTCTTCCAACTTGGGAATGGATTTTGTACATAGATCTGAATATAGATATCTATTGAAAGTTCATTCTGAACATTTCAAAAAGTAAAACATATGGATGATAGTTGAAAAATTAACCCAAAAGAAGTTAAAATCATTACTTCCTTGATTTTCCACAAACTCAGAATTTTACTCTGCTTTCCACACTGCCAATAATTTCAGTTCAGACAAACATTGAATGCCTTAATTTTAGAATGCCTTTTCCTCAGGAGTTGGTTTAAAACCTTGTCATTTCACATCTCCCTAATTAAAGAGTTTGTATTTCAAAGGAGAAAGAAAACTGAAACACCTAGAAATCAAAGAATCTGAGTGTTTACTTCTGGTAAGGGAAAAAAGATCTGGGATGCTGTAGAAAGGACAATTTTATCCATCATGTTTACTCATTTTAAAACTTTTAAACAAAAAAAATTGAATTTAGGAATTATTTGTCTAGTAAAAATATAATTTTGAAAATAAAAAAAAACCCTTAAAAAAGAATATGAGAGCAGTCAGGCTACCACATCCTGCTCCTGGGAGAGTCATACCTTCGGTGGCCACACTAAAGACCCCATTGCTTCATTGTTCCTGGTGCAACCTTCCACCTGCACTCTTCATTGAAAAGGAAAAACACCATATTTGAATTATGTCAATATAATGCCTTAGTACTCTCTCTGCATACATTTCTATTTTTAAATTTTAAAAATAATGCTTATAGCAGCATTTCATCATTTCAAATAAAAAAATAACCCAGGCATTCTGGAAAATAAATAAGGAAATTATGGATTATGAACAAAATAGAATATTATACTGTGAGCAAATAAATTAATTACAAAAACATGCCACTGCATCTATCTATGTGAATTGCATAATGTTGAGCCTAAAAAAAAGTCAAGCCCAGAAATATGGTATATAGCACAATATCATTTTTATAAATAATATATTACTTAAGCATACACATACATATAAGATAAAGCACAATATGCAGGTGTCAATTACCTCTGGTAGATATGTCTTATTAGTAATGTTCCAGTTCTTTGGGTGGGTGGTAGGGTCACAGATGTACATTTTCCTTAAATAAATATTTTTTTAAAAAAATATTTTTAGCAGAAGATAGACATAATGACTTTACTTATTTATTTTTATGTGGTGCTGAGGATCAAACCCAGTGCCTCACACATGCGAGGCAAGTGCTCTACCATAAACCCAGTCCTAATTAAATAGTTTTTTATAATTTTTCTTTTTAAAGCCTTTCTGGTGGTAAAACATACCATAGATGCAGAAAACCACATGAAACAAATGTAAAGCTTAATGTTACTGAACCCTTTTATAAGCACCACCCTTATCAAGAAGTGGATCTTTGCCAACTCCCCAGAATGTCTTCATCTGCCCATGCCTTGATTAATCTATCCAAACACTCCCCATAGCACTAACCTTTCTGTCCCCTTTTAAAAAAAATTAAATAACTATATAAATTTCATTAAATATGCTGTGATTCACTTAACCAATTCCCTACTAATGGACACTACAGTAATGTCAATTTTTTCCTGGATTAATGCTCGAAAAAAAAATGTGCCTCCCAAAGACAGCAACAAAGGTTGACTAGAAATATGATTCCAATAAACTACTAATCATTAACTCTTTTCTTACTTGTAGGCTCCAAACATGCTCTACTGAATTATCTATAAAGTCTGAAGTAAAATATTAGGAACATTTTCATATTTTTAATTTTTAAGTTTACATACATAAAACTCATCTGTGAATTTTGACAAATGTATGTAGTCTTATAAACCCCCATCACAATCAAGATCCAGAACAGTTCCATCATTGGCCAAATGAGAAATCCTCCTCCAAATTAAAAAAATAATTACTAATACATAAAAACATAAAAGATGTACATATTAATGAGATACTATGTAATGTTTGATACACATATACATCGTATAATGTTTAAATCAGGCTAACCATATTTATTTCTTCAAACATTTATCATTTCTTAGCAGTGAAAACTTTCAAAATCCTTTCTTCTAGCTTTTTGAAATGTATACTACATCTACAGTCACCATACCATGCAATAGTAACCCAGTGAGTCCTATCTGAGTCTTAGATCTATTGATAAACTCTTCACAATCCCTCCCCCTGTCCTATCTACTATTGTTGGTCTCTGGTAAACATCATTCTCTTCTCAACTTCTATGAAATCAACGTTTTTTTAGATTCCACATATGAAGACAAGTCCACATATGTGACACTTGTGTTTCTATGCTTGCTTTATGTCACTTATCGTAATGATCTCCAGTTCAATCCATGTTGTTAAAAATGTCAGAATTTCATTTTTTATGGCTGAATAGTATTCTATCATGCACATGTACACATTTGCTTTATCTGTTCATCAGCGGACAGACACTTAGGTTGTTTACATTTCTTGGCTACTGTAAGTAGTGCTGCAGCAAACATGGAAGTATAGATTTTTCTTTGACATACTGATTTCATTTCTTTTGGATTATATACCCAAAGGGTAACTGTTGGATCATATGATTATTCTATTTTAAATTTTTTAAGCAACTCCATACTGTTTTCCATAATAGCTGATTTACATTCCCCCCAAAAGTGTTCAGAGAATTCCCCTTTTTCCACATCCCTGCCAGCACTTGTTAACCTTTTGTCTTCTTGATATTAGCCATTCTTACTGGTTGATGTATTAGTCATACCTCACTGTGGTTTTAATTTGCATTTCTCCAGTGCTTAGTGATGTTGAGTCATTTTTCATGCACTTGTTGGCCATTTGTATATCTTCTTTTGAGGAATGTCTATTTAGATCTACTGTCCATTTTTAAAATTGAGTTATCTGATCTTTGCTATTGAGTTTTTGGAGTTCCTTGTATGTTCTAGATATAAACCCCTTGTCAGCTGTATATTGCAAACATCTTCCCCATTATATAGGTTGCATCTGCACTCTGTTGAGAGTTTTCTTTGATGTTCAGAAGCTTTTTAGTTTTATGTTACCCCATTTGATTATTTTTGCTCTCATTTCCTGTGTTTTGAGGGTCTAGGACAAAAAAATCCTTACCCAGTCCAAGGTCCTAAAGCATTTCCTCTGCTTTCTTCTAGTGGTTTCATAATTTAAGGTCTTATATTTAAATCTTTAATATAGCATGAGATGATCTTTGTGACTGATTAGAGATAGAGATTGCATCATTCTTCTGCATAAAATTGGATACCCAATTCTCCCAACAACATTTATTAAAAAAGACTTTGCACCTTTGTAAAAAATTCATTGGCTATA